CAATAAACACCAATCTCCTGCAATCTCAAGATTCCAATAGAATCTCTTTTTGCTTTCACCACCTCCTATTCTATTTGTTTATTTTTTATTGATTTCAGAGGGAGAGAGAAACATCGATTTGTCGTTCCACTCATTTATGCATTCACTGGTTGATTCTAGTATGTGCCCTGCCCGGGGATTGAACCTGCAACCTTGGTGCATCTGGACAATGCTCTAGACAACTGATCTACCCAGCCGGTCAGCATCTACTATTTTATTTTATTTTTTTCAATGATTTTTAACATGCATACCTTTTTGAATTTTTAAACTTAATCTTTATTTTTTTACGTTACTTTTTAGTCCTCTTAGATGCCCCCCTCCCCCCAGCAACCACCACACTGTTGTCCATGTCCACGGGTCCTTTTTCCTTTTTGCTCAATCCTTCCTCCCGGTAACCTCCCCCACCCTCTATTTTAAAACTCACTGTAAATAAAAATGCACTAACATAAATTCAGCAAAAAGAGTTGCTAAATCATTTAATGTATAGAATGACAGAATTGTATATAAGTATTTGGCAATGCTCTAGCAAGTGTTTAGTAGGGGCTGCTAAAGACCCTTATGCAAATAAATACGTTCAAAAGCAGAGGACTGTGATTGTTCAAGTTAATTTCAAAGATGTGAAATTAACCATTTCCTTCGAAATAATGTTTAAGACCTCCTCCTAAATTCTACTGCTTTCTACCTTTATTTGACGGTTGAGAAGATCTACTTTTATGCATATTATTCACTTTTAAAATATATTTTATGCCATCAGCATGTACCTTGAAATATTACACGGAAAACGTTCTTTGCTATTGATCAGCAACGTAGACTTTTGTGAACTGCTTGCCCATGTGGAAGTTCAGACTCCTAACCTGCACCGTGGGGACATTTCCTGTCACGGGGCATCAGCAAAGCCACTGCAGAAACGAGGAGGGAGCCCCCAGTGGCTCAGAGACGAGAGGGTTCATTTCCTTCTCAGAACCACCTAGTACGTGGGCCACTCCGTGAGCTCCAGGCTGTGAGGCAAACAGTCACGTTGAAGATTACAGGCCACTCCAGTTGTTACCCTCTCTGTCTGCTGAGAAGGGAAGATCTGGGACAAGCTCTCCAAAGAGACTCCCCTCTGTGTACAAGTCCCCGGTCTGAACTCAGTTGCAGGGGCACATTTAAGTGCGGGGGACATGGTGGGGGAGTAGGCTGCAGCCGGGTGGCCGTGGGGCAGCTGACATGGGACTGCGGATTCGACTGCTAAAAGGAAGAAGAGGAGAGAGGACTGGTGGACTATTAGCAGTCTGTGCCCCTCTAGGGTACTCAGCTTTAAAACTTGTGGTAAGAAAGCACACTGTAGGCCTTGGCCAGGTAGCTCAGTTGGTTGGAGCCTTGTCCCTAGACATCAATCAAGGTTGTGAGTTCAATCCCTGGTCAGGCCATATACAAGAATCAACCAATGCGTAAATAAGTGGAACAAAAATCAACATCCCTCTCTCCCTCTAGAATCAATCATTTCTTTTAAAAAGAAATGAAATTATTCTTGTGGAGCACGGAAGTATTTTTGTGGAATTTCACAAGCCATCGGGGTAGTGCTGGGCACATACCGAGTGATCCTTAAACAGTGGTTACCATCATCTTCATCGTCACCATTGCCACCTTTGGGCACGTCCTCTCACCCCAGCGCTTGCGTTCCCTCCGTGGTCTCACGAATACCGGTGACAGGTGGCTCTTCCAGAATCTTCGCAGGAAGTTTCTTTGCTTGTGAGGCAGCCACTCCATTTTCAGCAAGTTTTCTCCTCTTCCCACACGTTATTCATCTTCTTACACTTTCTTCTCTCTCACCTTCACTGTGACCTCTGAGGCCCCGCGTCCCTCTGCCACATGAGGGTCCTTCTGACACTGACAGGAAGTTGCTGCTGCTCCGTGAGTTTCTTGTTCTCTGATCGTGGTGTGTCCCTTCCACAGCCTCTCAAAATCCGTGACTCTGGGTCCACCTGTCATCCAGGACACACCTGTTCGCTCACTTAACACTTATTTCTCGAGTGCTAACTATTCTATTTGGTAAATGTCCATCTGAAATTACGTCACCACGGGCTTGCACAGTATTGCACATGGGTCTGACTTAATGTCCTGAGTGGATTTTGCATTTATGGACTCTCCGCGGCCGTGTCTCCTGTGCACACGCACTGGATGGTCCCTTTCTGTGGGTGCAGTTCACCTGGATGTATTCCCCCTGCACGAAGGTTTTACAAATCCTTTTACACAACACACCCTTTGTTTCTAGTGAACTAACTGTAATCTTACAGTAATCTCTGGTAACAGGGTGCAGCCAAGGGGGGGGGCAAATAGTGATTTAGAATGGGGTCCAGAACTCAGGGTGTTCAGGAAATATTAGAGAAAAATATATATAGGATGTCCTCACCCCCACCAGTCTGACCTGGGGGATGGGACACATGGAGCAGGGCCATTGAGAGCTGTTTTGCATAGCAACAGCTTTGCAGCTAATCTCTGGTGTGGTCATTTAACACATCTATAACCTTTAACTGGCTGCATAGATATGTTAAATAGCTGTGGCCATGCTCTGAGCCAGGGGGATGGAAGGGACTTCTACCCAAGACGTAACTGGGAGGCAGCTCCCCCTGGTTACAGCGCCTCTGTGGGAGCTTGGAGATGATTGGCTCCACGCCATGGGGCCACACCTGCCCAGACTTACAATGGCAGCACAGTAAAGCCGGAAGAATGTGGGAATGCTGGCAGGTGTACCCAATTGTGGGAGGAGTCGGAAATGGGGCTGCAGAGAAGGACTGGCGCAGGGATTTAAACCCAGACTCTGCAGTTTTGGTGGGGAGTGAACAGCTCGGATTTGGCAGAGTGGGGACCATGTGGCTTTGGGGTGCTCCATTTTGCCACATGGCTTAGGAAGCAAAGAGAGACTTTGGCTGGAAGAAAAGGGGTGAAAGGCCTCTTGCTGCTGGGCCATGAGAAGGTGCCACATGGCTTTGGATTAACTGGAGATCCTGGCAGCAACATAGCTGGTGGCGCCAGGACCCCGAATCACGGAGGACTTCTGCTTCTTTTCCTTGAGACGCGGTACCCAGATTAGGGCAGAGGGAGGAGGAAGCACTGTGGGCGTCTGTGGGTACCCTAAAGGACTTTGATATTTTAATGAAGACATTGGGTCACTACTTGAAGTCTGTATAGCTTTAAATAAACATTTCCTTTCCTTTTCACAAACCTCTGGCATTGAGAGACGCCTTTCCTCTGGCGGCAGACAAGCGAATCTAGTGGGGAGTCTTTCCGGTAACAGTGTATCATACCCGCCTTGGGCCTGTTCTGCAACACTCTCAAGAGCTTTTATTCTTTCGTCCAGTGTATTAATCATCCCACAGAGTCACACCATCAAAACCCCCGATGAGCATGCAGGTGATGATTCACCTGAGACAGTGAGCACTTCACCAGTTACAAAGGTGAAGAACTGTCAGGTCATTTAAGAAATAGGCGGCTCTCAGAGGTCTCAAGAACAGTTTTTGGTGAAATACATGGTTTCTGTGCTCATTGTCCTGCCGAAGGAGGCCTTGGCCGCCTCTCAAAGTGCTCCCTGGTTTGGCTCCACCCAGACCCACCAGACCCTCCCCTTCCCTGCCCTGGGCTTGAGAACCGGTGTTTTCCTGCTGGGGGCCTGTCTGTACCGAGATTCTACAAATGTTTACTAAGCCCCAATTCTGTGCCAGGCATGACATGAAAGCAGTTTCTCTTAAACAGCTGACCCTTGAACAACATGGGGGTTAGGCAAGAATGCACCAACCCCGTGCAGGTGAGAATGCACAGGTAACTTTAGACTCCCCAGGAACTTAACTACCAACAGCCTGCTGTGGACCAGAAGCCTCCCCAGTCACATGACCTCTGATGAACACCTACACCGCGTGCTGTATATATTATACACTCTACTCTTACAATACAGGAAGCTAGAGAAAAGAAGGTGCTGCTGAGAGAATCACAGGAAGAGAAAATACATTGACCGTATTCATTGGAAAAATCTGCTTATAAATAGACCCGCACAACTGAAACCCGTCATGTTCGAGGGCCAGCTGTCAATGGAGCCTGGAAGAAATGGAACGTAGGTTATGAAAAGAACACATACATTCTCGAGCAAAACTATTGTATTGCCTTGCTTTTGCATAAGACCATTCATGGCACAGCACGTAGAAGGATGGCACTCCTTATAGAGGCTACGGAGCAGTACAGAACATACCCCAGCATAGGCACTCAGCCTTCCCTGTGCAATTCAAAGATGCAGTTCACGTGTGAGCTACCTTTGCTAAGACGATGTCACTGGTGAACTAAGTGCTTGCTAAACACAACTCAGACCGGCTGGTTTCAGTGCTTTGAAAATGATGATGCAAGTGAACCTGGAAAAGACACCAGAGTTCAGGCTGCCTGTCACTACCAAACCCAATAAGCAATGACAGCCATTGAATTTTTATGGGCACTTTATTCAGGCAGCCAGTGATCTGAGAAGATGGTGGGTTCATACCCTAACAGACCATCTTGTCCTTTCTCGCCAGGCCAAGGTTTTTATAGCAGGGAATAAACAAGGTGCGGTGAGGGGTACTGAGATTCGGGGCGGGTCGGGTAGAAGAAACTGCAACATCTTTGTCCTGGGTGGTCAGCTGTTCCCAGGGGCAGGTGGTCGTTTGCCCCTCCCTGAAACACAATGGCCTGGATGCCTCCACTTGCCCCCAGCTGGTCATCTTTAGCATTGCCCCCGGAGGTCCGCTATTTTCCCAGGAGGCAGGATGGCCCTTATCTATCTGTAGTTTCTGAAACAAAAGCTTTTAACATACACATCACTTGCTAGGCTTATAACTAATTACCTTAAACTAAAATTTTCCAATTCTTAAGCCCCCATCCCAAGGGCGATCAGGAAGAATCCATTCCTCATTTGCTCTGGGTACCGATCACATTTTAGAGTTTAAATTATGCATCACCTGTGCGGATGTTACCTTTTCCAAGGGACTTTCCACGCGAGGAATGCTGACCATCGGCGTGTGAGCCAGGCTGGTCACGTGTAGGTGCCCCTGCTCGGGCTGCCTCCCTTTGAAGTTATTTACCACGCACACGACCTGGAATTTTGGGGAAAAAGTACAGTGTAAAGCAAAGCCCTGCTCTCCATGACCACGATCTTTCTGAGTAGCTCAATAAATGGAACAATAAGAAAGCATTCAAATTATTTAAATGTTAAATGGATATAACTGGACACCCAGATTTATCTTGTATAAATGTTGAGGGTAGGTACCCCAGTGCATATATGTTCCGGAAAATTCATCCATTAATAAGTAGCTCAGCTCATGATGACAATTTTATTATTCCAAAATGTTCATTAAATGAGGTAATAGTCGGTGCTCAAATATATCCAAAAATAACATCATAACCTTATGAAAATTCATAGCAAGGTAACCTTACCCCAATGTGGCTTAACCTACAACTTAATTTGAATGCTAATTATTTCCCATTGCTTCAAGATCATCATTGAATTCATAATAAACCCACCACAAGGGCACCCTCTAATTAGTAACTTCCTCTTAATTAACACAGGTCATTGTCTCTCGTTGTACACCATATATAACTTGGCATTTCAACAATAGCTCACCAGGGCTATTCCTGAAGTAGAAGGCCTTTTACAAGAAGGGAATTGACCCTGTTCCATTTGATGATGCCCCAGAGAGACAGAACTTGAACTACACCAGAGTGTGTCCTTGGCCAGCGTGTGTGCAAATAAAGTTCTGGCGCTCTTAGGAGTGAGTGCACATTCCCAAGGCCTCCCCTCCGGGTCAGAGGTTTGTAGCTGAAGGGTGGGGCTGAAGAGTTAGCCCTTTTCCTTTTGTTTTTCTTCTTTGCTTAATCCCTTTGCCGCATTCTCCCTGAGCCTACAGCCTTCCACTCCGACAGCTGTCATCTCTTCTCTGTAATTTGTGACTCACTTTCCACTTTGCTAGTTTATTTTGTTCATTAGATTCCACACAGGAGCGAGATATTTCTCCTTCTCTGACTGCCTTATTTTGCTTAGCATAATTGTCTCCAGGTCCATCCACACAGCTGCAAAAAGTAAGATTCCCTTCTTTTTTTTAGAGCTGAGTACTATTCTATCAAGTACCCAGTCACAGGCACTTGGCTTACTTCCAAATCTTGGCTATTGTGGACGATGCTGCAGTGAACACAGGGGTACATGTATCTTCTCAAATTAGTGTTTTGGGATTCTTCAGGTATAGTCCCAGAACTGGGGTAGCTGAGTCACGAGGCAGTTACATTTTTAATTTTTTTGAGGTATAACAGTTGGTACTTTTAATATGCATTCTAGAAGCTTCTGATGCAGGTGGGTCATACCTTGAGAAATAGTCAATTAAACAGCACAGGACAATTAATTATCTATGATTATCTCCTTATATTAACTAAGGTTAAGATAGTCTTGAGCCCTCTTCTTCTGGGTTTTATGGTAGTCCCTCACCTGGACTTTCGCCCTCCAGCAAACCTATTTTCTAAAAGGGACAGGAGGGAAATGGTCGTTTAGGGAACTCAGGCCCACCCTCCTGGGGCCCATTCACTGCACACACGCCATTTCCTCTGAGCTGCATAAATCCTCACCAGGACCCTCTCGGGAGGCCGCTCCCCACCTCGTCTACGGAGGACGGAACCAGGCTCAGGAAGGTCCAACTGTTCAGTGGTAAAAACTGGGCACAAGAAGCTGGGGCCAACCCAGGCTGTTGTTCCATTTCAACTCAGTTAAACCCTGCCAGGGGCTCCTGAAGTACCTCAGTTTATCAACAAAAGCCCAGAATATTCTCTCGACACCTGGGCCATCCCAGGGATTCCCCCTGTGCTTCTCCATGCCCCACCGCCTGCGTCTGCTGTCCCTCGGGGTGGATGACAGGCACCCCTGCAGGACACCCGCCCCCCAGAACACAGCAGGTGCTGCACCCAAGCTTACTGCAGGGGGCGTTCCACTCCCCTCTGTGCACTGCACTCCCCCTCATCCTCACACCCCAGCCTAGACCTGCCAGCTGCACAAACTCTTCAAGTTCATGCATTGCCTCCTCTTTCTGGTTGGCCGCTCATCCCCGCAGACGGGATCTCGTGACTGCGTGTACCTGCCATTCCGTTGAACCCTCTGTAAAACCTGTGTCTCCCTTGCTGCAATATTGTGATTTATAAGGAAAATGTATTGGGTCCCTTAGATCAACCATGCATTTCTCGTATTTATTGGGTCTTCATCCCTGTTTCTGACGCAGAGCCGCCCAAGCTCGGATTTCCCGTACTGAGAGCAATACAGGTGTGTCTCGTTATGATAACGAGGAGGCATTTGGACCTGAAGGGCTTGGGCTGGTTGCCAGGAGACTCAACCACGAGATTCCGTTGGACCCGAGAAGGAACCAGGGCGGCTGGAGACTGCATCTGCGGCCAGTGGCCGATGACTTAGCCCATCTGTAAAAACCCCAAAAGAGAAGCTGCCAAGAGCTTCCGGGTTGGTGAGCACCTGGAGGGGGCGTGAAAGACCCTCCCCTTCCCCACGCCTCGCCCTGTGGCCTGTGCATCTCTTCCGTCTGGCAGGTCCTGAGTTCCTCTTCTAACACACAGGTCACCTGGTGGACGAGGACAAGGATGTAGTCACCACTTACACTGGAGCTTCTAGAAGAAGAACCTCTTGAAAAATGCCCAGCACATAGATGTGCTCGAACCTTCGGGAGCTGGAGTTTTTGCTCACGGGTGTTGGGTAGTGAAGGCAGCAGAAGAAGCAATGCTGACATGAGGAGCAATTTAAATAAAACCGAAAGGGAGCTGAAATGTGTCTTATACTGTGTCGATGCAAAAGGATGTTTCGATATACAGTCTAGACAGCTTCTTGCCTGGGTAGAATGATCCACACACTCAAACTTACGATGGCCCAGTTCATTCTAAAGCCAGGATAAAGGGCATCTTCCCGCCTCCCAAATCTGTAGAAATGTGCGAAGGGGGTTTTAAAACAGAAGTTGAGGCGGCACGTGTCCTTCATCAGAAGTCACCGCTGTGCTTTTGCCACATGGCCGCACCTGCCAGGAGGTGGCGCTGTCTCCGGAGCAGTGGGTCCTCAGTTCCTGGAGGGAACCAGGTCACATCAGGAGGGAGGGCTCCTGGTTGGCGAGCTCTGTGGCTGGGACAGGTAGCCCGTGGATGGCACCCTGCCGAGGTACTCGAGTTCTCTGGGGGTCTCCAGCTGCTCCACCTTGATGCAAAGCACCCTGCAGGATATTTTAAAAAATATCCAAGCACCCCAGTCCTATATACTATCCAGGGAGAAGTGAGTGTTTTTAGCTCTGCACCATTTTATGTGAAAATTTATTTTCACCACCACACCTGACTTTAGGCAGAAAAATGAGGGAAGTGGAGGAAATAAATGACTTCACAGGGGCGTCCACACTCTAGGCATCTCTGGGCCACACCAAACACATTGTGACACGTAATTACTAAAAAAAATTTTTCAGTAAATTCACGACTTTGTGTTGGGCTGCATTCACAGCCGTCCTGAGCCGCCTGTAGCCTGTGGGCCTCAGGTTGGACCCCCCTGATAGAATATTAAGTGATCACTTGATATACCGCATTTGGGCAAACCCAGGTGGCTCACACATGCATTTTCCTACAGGCGGTTCGTGAAAACCCCGGTGCCATCTCCGGAAACGCGTACTCACCAGGAACACGGCTATAGAGATGCCCACCAGGAAGCCCGCTATCACGTCCGACCAGTGGTTCCGGTACTCCGCCACCCTGTTGAGCCCGGTCAGGAAGGCCAGGCACATCAAGCCCAGGCACAGGACCGGCTTGGCGAGTCTCGTGCCCTTGGCTTTGATGGTGTTGGTGATGTACATCTGAAACGACAAACGTGACTTTTCGCGAGGGCACTGCCTTGGTAGGTGCCTTGGAGACATGTCACGCACACACAGTTACAATGATGTATTGACAGGTGTGTTCCGCCCACAGGGTTCCGGGAGCAACTGCCTTGTATTCATTGCCTGAGAAAGTTTCTTAAGAGCAGAATGGGAGTGCGGTGAGTGACTATTTAATTTTACTTACCTGAAATTTGCTAAGGGTCTGCTCTCATTATTAATCATGTAGGAGCACCGGGCACAGCCACTGCAAGTGACCGTTGATGAAACACCTGGTGTCCTTGGTTGATAGGAATTCACGTTTCAGATCCACATGGCGACGGGGGAACACTGATGAAGATGTGTTCTGTTCTGCGTGACCACAGTGTACATGCCCTTGGACGGGGTGCAGACTTGATAGAATCAGAACGTGTGCTTACAAGGCATGAAGCTGGTTTTTTTACTAAGCAATGCCACAGTTTGTTTTTATGTTGCCGCCTGGAGTTGCGAAATGAACTAAACTTTGATCGGCTGTGGTTAGGACAACATAAACACTTAATTACAAGCAGGCAGGAAATACCAGCTAAGAATGGAACAAACCAAGGAACAGACACATGCAGTTTTGGTAGCTCGCACATGCAAACAGGACAATACAAGTGAGCTGATGGCATTGGAGTGTCTTCAAGTTGGGACACTATGCTCCAGAATAGCTCGGTCCTCCCCCCGGTCTGACTCAGCCTGGAGCTCAGTCGCTTAATATTTAAATCCTAGTACTACATAAGCAAATTGGCTGACTGCAAAAAGCAAGAACTGTCTGCTATTATTTCAAGTCATTAACAAAGTGATTCTAAAAGAGATGGCTTGGACAATATGTTTTTACAGTATTAGTGTTAGTACGTATCTGATGCTGATAATATATATTCAGAACCATGGTTAGAGATGTTTAAAACCACTTGCCTATTGTCTGAGTTGAATAAAAAATACATTTTTGGCCCTGGCCAGGTAGCTCAGTTGGTTAGAGCATCATTCTGACACACGAAGTTTGAGGGTTTGATTCACAGTCAGGGCACATACGAGAATCAACCAATGAACGCATCAATAAGTAGAACAAAAAATCAATGTCTCTGGCTCTCCCTCCCTCCCTCCCTCTCCAGATATATATAATCAATAAAATTTAAAATTTTTGCCTAAGAGAGTAAACCAAAGTCCATGCTTAAGTTTTTAATTCATAGCAGCCATTTTAGAATGCTATGAAATTCAGTGATTATCTTCTCTGTTTTTTTTCTTTTTCTCCCTGCTGGGCAAAGCTTGAAGCCCTGTTTGCTGCCAAAGAGGCTGTGTGAATATTTAAACGGCCCACGTGACACGAAGCTTCTAGCTAGCCAAGTTCCAGCCAATCTATCCCAGGTCCCAATGCTCTAGGGAAAAACAAAGAACCAGCTGCCTTGTCTGCACCTGGGCCCGTGGCCTTGGCCGCACGGCCTGGGCGCGGCGGAGCCTGCGCTGGGAAGAGCAGAACATTTCAGTTCTGGAGGGTCTGCGTGGGGGAGACAGCCACAGAGAGAGGTGAGGAAGGGAAACGAGGCGTTTGCCATGCAGAGGGACAGTGTTTGGAGCTCTTCTGCCCACACGGATAACAAGGTGAGGGTATCACACCATTTCAGGTTTCCTGGGTGCATCGGATACCGGGACTTGGCTAGTGCTCAGGAGCAGGGCGTGAAAGTGGGTATGCCTGTGAGATTTCCTGTCACACGGCTGCACGGCGGACTTGTGATTTCCCACATCCGTCAGAAGGCTAGAAGCATCCTATCCTTATTAAGGCAAAATAAGTAGGAACTGATAACGGAATAATGCTCATACTGCTAATACTCATTAGCACTGTGCCTTAATGAATGACCGCTGCTGAAGGCCGTGTTCTAAGCATGCTACACTAATAATCCGATGACGTTCTCAACATAACTGTTACCTTCATCGTGTAGACATAAAACAAAATCGAGACAGAGTTTATTGTGAAGAATGCAGAAACTGACTTTGGGCTGCAACGTTGAGACAAGAGGGACGTAGAAGGGAAGGAGAGAAAGCTCTTGGGTACCATGGCCTTTCCTCCCTCTTTCTTCTCTGATTTCTGGCCTGGAGGACGTGGCCAATGAACGTAAGCTGAGCATCCGCAGATGCACAGGCGCTGAAAGGGGGGAGGAGAACCAGGGCTGCCATGGTAACGCGGGGCAGGGCGCCATCCACGCTGCGCGGCTGCTGCGCAGTAGGGAGTGGTCTTTGCAGCTTTGGCGCATCTGCCTTGCCCTTCACCCCCAAAGGCTGTCTCGGATGCACCCAGGCCCTCACCTTTGAACTGGGTCCGGCCCGCAGTCATCTGCAGGCTTGGGGACGACCTTCCGAAGTTTCTCCTGAATGTGGAGTTCGCTCCTAAATGGATCTAAGGAGGCGAGCATTGTTTATAAGGATCCAAAAGCAGTCTGGCCATAGTACATATGCGTGTGAAAGCTTGTGTGACCGGGACAGCCTGCTTTTGGCTCTTCCGCCACCAGACCTCACTTCCTGCCCAGAGCTGGAGCGGAGGAAGACTGAATTTTAAGGGTTATGGGAGAAGGGTGACCTTTATTCAAGTAATTCGACTTTAAGGTGGATCACAGCAGCATTTAATAATGCACAATATTTTTTTCTGGAACATAGTGAGTTGGCATGATGTCACAGAAAAATCGCAAGTTTTTCCTTCTACTGGGCAGCTCTGCGGAACTTTATGTGTCTTTAAACCACTCCGTCTCCCTTATACAACGCCCGTTTATCCCTCATTTGCAGAAGAGGGAATGACGGCATAAGAGTCTATTAGCGAGTTGGATGTAGGACAGGAATTGAGTATTTATGCTCTCCTGGTTTTTAATTCACTATGGAATCACCTAGGTTAACTAGATGTCAAAATGTAGCTAAAAGAAAACCCGAACAGCAGGGGGTCTGATTTGAGTGGGTGGTGCCCACGCAGCACCTCACGGGCCTGGCCCACCCGTATAACTAGCCCCTGCTCTCTGTCTTCCTCCATCCATCCTGCGGATACCTACTAGCAGGCCGATGCACAAGGCCGAAGCCGTGTGCCGCTGCTCACAGCCTGGTGTGTACTCTAATCCTTGCTTCCAGCTGTATACAATCACTGACACGCGTGCAGACCGGGTTTTACTTCCTCATTTGCTTTGACTAAAATGTATCCACCGTGCCCACATTATTCAGCAATGTGAACTGACTCACTCCTGCTGATAAACACCCATCTGCTGGCTAAGTTGGGAACACACTGTGCAATTTGAAAACAATACAATGTTATAAATAACTAAAAATAAAAACGCACAAATGGTGTTTGTTCAGCACTTACTGCACCCCCGAACCTGTTTATTTGGGGCTCCCCGCAAGGGGAAAGGGAAGTGGGGGCGAGGAAGGGGTCCTGATGTGTGTTCTCCACACACCTGGCTTGTTCTCTTTCAGAACGCTTACAACGATGTATGGTTTTAATTCCTTTTAACGGTTTCCTTCACTGCAGTGAGGACACAGAAGCCGAATCTGAGTCTTTTGTTCTAAAGCCTGCACTGTGTCCCACTTGGCCTGACACAGGGTAAGCACCCAGTGAAGACGTACTAGGCTGTGCAATTAAAGAGCAAATCAAGGCAAAGGTCCAGGGGAAAGAGGACGGAGCATTTTCTTCACAGTACCGGTCGCCGTCCAAAGTCACCTACTCCATTTCTGGGTGCCCATGTTGACCGGTTCCCGAGGCTGGAATACCCGTTAGAACGGAGCCCTGCGTCCACTCACTGACGCACAGGGGGCACTTCCCCCAGCAGGCGCTCACAGGTGGCAGAGTGAGTGGCAGGCGTGTGCCCCGCCTGGGAGGGAGCCCTGTTGAGCTCTTAGCCGTCTCTGAGTGCCCACCAGCCGCTGACACGGTCTTCTCGCCTCTGTGTCTGTTTACCTGCTCTCGTCTTTCTCCTCGTCTGTCTCGTGCTTCCCAGAGTGGCACCTGTCCCCGGGTGGGCCCTGCCACAGGACGGGTGGGGACCCTCTCGGCTGCAGTCAGAGAGACGGTTGAAGATACCAGGCTGCTGCCGCTGCCACGTCCTCCCGAGGGACACAGTGGGGCTGACACCTTGGTTTTCACCTACAGAGGCCTGGGTTGGACTGCAGACCCGGGCAGCTCTAAGATAATGGACTCGGGCTGTCGTGAGTCACTGGGTTCATGACCAGTGGTCACGGTGTCAGAAGAAAACTATCCTACATCCAATCACTATCTGCTTAACATGTGAGTGAATGAATGAATGAACACATGGATGAATGAGTGCATGTACTGGAATTCACGAAAATGACCCAGAGGAGGAGGTGATGGTGGTGTCATGATCACAGCACCTACTTTGGATCCAGTAAAATCTCGGTTTGAGACCTGGCTCTGCCACTCACCGAGACAAGCCATCCACCCCCGTCCGGGCCTTGGTCTCCTGGTATGTAACGTGCAAAATGGCGGTGATACTATCCCCACCCAGGGCTGAAAGGACTAGTGGCATGACCCAGGTGATCTTCCAGGCAGGGTCTGGCCTGCAGTGAGTCCTTGCTGACAGCAGGGGGTGAGCCAGGGCCTGGACACTGGTGCTGACACCCCCGGTGGGACCCTTATGAACATCTGTGGGGACCATGTTAGTTCTCTTTCTCCAGCTTCTCGTTCGCCCCACACTGATCACCAGCCACAGCCCGGCAGCTCCCAGGCTAGAAGCCCCCAGCCGGCTGCACACAGCTCCTGCGAATCGCTGCAGAGACCCCAAACAAAACTGAGGGGTTCGTTAGCAAGCCAGGCGGGCAGTGTCCCGAAAGCCAACGGCTGTATGCATCTCACTCACGTCCATCAGTTTCCCAAATGCTGATGAGAAGGTGTCTGGGGGGCGGCAGAACTGTGACGGGAGGTAATGCCCAGGTGGGAAGACCACGGGCCTTGTACTGGACACGTCTGGGCTGTA